CGGCTATAACTAATAGGCTACCACAGCTATAACTAATACACTACCATAGCTGTAACTACGAAGGGTGCCGTAGCTATAACTAGGAATTTACCACAGCTATACCTAATACACTACCACAGCTGTAACTATTACACTACCACAGCTGTAAATGTTAAACTACCACAGCTATAACTATTACACTACCACAGCTATAAATGAGAAGTGACTCGAGACCTTATCGTTGACGCTTCAATTTTAGGTCTTAGTAAGGAAATGTTGCACCACATCTGTGTGTCTGTATTACTTATGCTCACCTTACAAGCGAGTAGACCCGGGTTCGACCCCCGGGCATAATAGAACTATGGGCAAGTTTCTTTACGCCATTTGCCTTTGGATACCCAGCAGTAAATGGCAAATCTATTAACATCTAGGGCCTAGATGTTAATAGATTTGCGGATCGTGTTCCGGGGTAATGGTTAGCCAGTGCAGTTGACGAGCTGTACGATCTTCTTGGATTATCCCTTGACACTCTATCGTACAGCTCGTTAACTTAGGTGTGGTTGTGCCAACACCTAGGTGGCCCTCGGGCCGGCCATCCTCTAACACGAGGGGCAACAATTTCCTTCACCAGTTGGCTCACACGTTTAACAAGAGCCATTATATATTACAGTGGCTCATTATGACATATTTATGAGGATATATAAAGAAAAGACCGCCTCGATATATTAACTATTTTGTAAGAGGCAACATTAAGATATTGTTAATAAAGTGAAGAAATATTAACACTCCCTGTTTTACGGCCGTGTGTGTGTGGGGAGGGTAAAGATATGACGGTGCTTGGTGAGCCAGACACGACTCCCCACCCTGAACCCTCCTCACCTCGACCCTCTCACCCTCGACCCTCGACCCTCCCTCACCCCCCTCCTCGACCTCCTCACCTCGACCTCTCGACCTCACCTCGACCTCCTCACCTCGACCTCCTCACCTCACCTCGACCTCCCGACCTCCTCACCTCGACCTCTCCTGACCTCACCTCACCTCACCTCGACCTCCTGACCTCCCGACCTCACCTCGACCCCTCCTCACTTTCCCTCAACCTCCTCACCTCGACCTCCTCACCTCGACCTCCTCACCTCGACCTCCTCACTCGACCTCCTCACCTCGACCTCCTCACCTCGACCCTCCCACTGACCTCCTCACCTCACCCTGACCTCCCTCACTCCTGACCTCCTCACTCGACCTCCCGACCTCCTCACCTTGAACCTCCTCACTGACCTCCTCGGCCCTCGACCTCCTCGGCTCCCTCTCGACCTCCCTAGACCTCACTCGACCCCTCCCTCACCTGACCTCCTCACCTCGACCTCCTCACCCTCGACCTCACCTCGACCTCACCCCGACCTCCCTCACCTCGACCTCCTCACCTCACCTCCACCTTGACTCCTCACCTCTGACCTCCTCGACCTCACTCGACCTCATTCGACCTCCTCACCTCGACCTCCTCACTGACCTCCTCACCCGACCCCTCCCTAGCCCTGATGTATGAAGATTTGTGGGTCATTGAGGTAAGTAATGTAATGTTGTCTTGTCGATCTGTGGTATATGTGAGTTCCTCCTGGAGTGGTGGGGTGGTGGGGTGTGGTGTGGGAGGGGGTGTGGTGGGGGTAGGGGGTAGGTGGGGTGTGGTGGGTGGGGGTGTGGTGGTGGGGGTGTGGTAGGTGGGGTGTGGGAGTATGGGGGTGTGGTGGGGGTGTGGTAGGTGGGGGTGTGGTAGGTGGGGGTGGTAGGTGGGTGTGTGGTGGGGGTAGGTGTGGTAGGTGGGGTGTCATAGGTGGGGGTGTCCTAGGTGGGGTGTCCTAGGTGGTGTGGTAGGTGGGATGTAGAGGGGTGTGCTAAGGGGTGTGGTGGGTGGGGGAGGGTAGGTAGAAGTGGGGGTGGGGTGGTAGGTAGGGGTGTGTGGGGGTGTGGGGGTATGGGAAGGTGGGTAGGTGAGGGGTGTGGTAGGTGGGGGAAGGGGGTGGTAGGTGTAGGGGGAGGGTGAGTGTGATGAAGAAGATAAGGTGGTAGAGGTGGTGAGGGTGGTAAGGGGAGGTGAGGTGGGTACAGTAGGTGAGGGGTGTGTGGTACAGTAGGTGAGGGTGTGGTACAGGAGGTGAGGGTGTGGTACAGTGGGTGAGGGGTGGGTACAGTAGGGTGAAGGTGTGGTACAGTGGTGAAGGTGTGGTACAGGAGGTGAGGTGGTACAGAGGTGAGGGTGTGGTAGAGAGGTGAGGGTGTGGTACAGTGGTGAGGGTGTGGTACAGGTGAGGGTGTGGTACAGTGGGTGAGGGTGTGGTACAGTAGGTGAGGGTGGTACAGTGGGTGAGGGGTGTGGTACAGTAGGTGAGGTGGGGGCAGTGGGTGAGGGTGTGGTACAGTAGGGGAGGGTGTGGTTAGCAGGTGAGGGTGTGGTACAGGAGGTGAGGGTGTGGTACAGTAGGTGAGGGTGTGGTACAGTGGGTGAGGGTGTGGTACAGTAGGGTGAGGTGTGTGTACAGTAGGTGAGGTGTGGTACAGTAGGTGAGGGTGTGTACAGTAGGTGAGGGGTGTGGTACACAGAGAGGGGTGTGGTACAGTGGGTGAGGGTGTATTACAGTAGGTGGAGGGGTATTACAGTAGGTGAGGGTGTGGTACAGTAGGTGAGGTGTGGTACAGTAGGTGAGGGGTGTGGTACAGTAGGTGAGGGTGTGGTACAGTAGGTGAGGGTGTGGTACAGTAGGTGTGGTGCAGTGGGTGAGGGTGTGTGCAGGGGTGAGGGTGTATTACAGTAGGTGAGGGGTACAGTGGGTGAGGGGTGTGTGGTACAGTGGGTGAGGGTGTGGTACAGTAGGTGAGGTGTGGTACAGTGGGTGAGGGTGTGGTACATTAGGGTGAGGGGGTAGGGGGTGTGGTGCAGTAGGTGGGGGGTGGTACAGTAGGTGAGGGTGTGGTACAGTAGGTGAGGGTGTGGTACAGTGGGTGAGGTGTGGTACAGTGGGTGAGGGTGTGGTTACAGTGGGTGAGGGTGTTACAGTGGGTGAGGGGTGTATACAGAGGTGAGGGTGTGGTACAGTAGGTGAGGGTGTGGTACAGTGGGTGAGGGGTGTGGTGAGTGGGTGAGGGGTGTGGTAGAGTGGGGTGAGGGTGTGGTAGAGTGGGTGGGGTGTGGTACAGTGGGTGAGGGTGTGTGACAGTGGGTGAGGGGTGTGGTACAGTGGGTGAAGGTGTGGTACAGTGGGTGAGGGTGTGGTACAGGTAGGGGGTGTACAGTGGGGAGGGTGTGGTACAGTAGGTAAGGGTGTGGTACAGTAGGTGAGGGTGTGGTAGAGGAGGTGAGGGTGTGGTAGAGTGGCCGTCAACAGCCAAGTGAACTATACGGGCACAATGGTGGTTCCCGCCTTGTGGGAGTGACCACACTGCCTTCACCACTTCCCACTGCCTTTCGTTATTTCTGGGTCACTTCGCCTCTTAGTTTTGTGGGCGTGGGCGGGGACTCTGCCTTGTGGGAAAGACTCTACCCTGGTAACACTACAATGAACTTAACGTCAAATGGACGCACCCACCTCAGCGTGATAGGCAAATATAAGCTCAATGCCCGGGGTATATAAGTCACATTATGGTGGGGAGGCGGCAGCTGGAAGGCCAGGTTGGGCATTATTTAGTCAGCACTTGACAGGAGAGGTGAGGGCCCTCATGTTTGCCGCCTCTTCCACCCAGAATAACTTCAACTTAGGATTTTCACGATAAAGGAATTTACTTTCCTGTTTAAAGGTATATCTTGCGACCTGAGGAGTATGGTGATAGTCCGCCTGCTACTAGTTACCGGAGGTGTGGGCCCCTGCTGCTAGTTACCGGAGGTGTGGGCCGCCTGCTGCTAGTTACCGGAGGTGTGGGCCTCCTGCTGCTAGTTACCGGAGGTGTGGGCCGCCTGCTGCTGGTTACCGGAGGTGTGGGCCGCCTGCTGCTAGTTACCGAGGTGCGCCTGCTGCTAGTTACCGGAGGTGTGGGCCTCCTGCTGCTAGTTACCGGAGGTGTGGGCCGCCTGCTGCTAGTTACCGAGGTGTGGGCCTCCTGCGTGGTTACCGGAGGTGTGGGCCCTGCTGCTGGTTACCGGAGGTGTGGGCCGCCTGCTGCTGTTACCGGAGGGGCCGCCTGCTGCTAGTTACCGAGGTGTGGGCCTCCTGGTGCTAGTTACCGGAGGTGTGGGCTGCCTGCTGCTAGTTACCGGATGTGCCGGTGCTAGTTACCGAGGTGTGGGGCTGCCTGCTGCTAGTTACCGGAGGTGTGGGCCGCCTGCTGCTAGTTACCGGAGTAGTTACCACCCAACCCAGCTCACGACAACAACCCCACCTCAGCTCACGACGACCACCACACCTTAGCTCACGACAACAACCCCACCTCAGCTCACAACGACCACCACACCAGCTCCGACGATTACCACACCTCAGCTCACGACGACCACCACACCTCAGCCTGCAACGACCACCACACCTCAGCTCACGACAACAACCCCACCAGCTCACGACGACCACCACACCAGCTCACGACGATTACCACACCTCAGCTCACGACGACATCCACACCTCAGCTCAGACAACAACCCCATCTCAGCTCGACGACCACCACACTCATTCCACGACGACAACCACACCTCAGCTCACGACGACCATCACACCAGCTCACGACGACCACCACACTCAGCTCACGACGACCACCACATCTCAGCTCCCGATGATTACCACTCAGCTCACGACGACCACCATCTCAGCTCCCGACGACACACCTCAGCTCACGACGACCACCACACCTAAGCTCAATGACCACCACACCTCCGTTCACGACGACCACCACACTTCAGCTCACGACGACCACTACACCTCCGTTCACAACGACCACCACACCTCCGTTCACGACGACCACCACACCTCAGCTCAAGACGACCACCTCAGCTCAAAACGACCACCACATCTCATTTCCGACGACCACATCACTTCATTGTTTGTAACATGACAATTGTAGGAAACGCTGTCAACAAGGCCCGCTGTTCTGCCTCTGTCAACAAGGCCCGCTGCTCTGCCTCTGTCTACAAGGTCCGCTGCTCTGCCACTGTCAACAAGGCCCGCTGCTCTGACACTGTCAACAAGGTCCGCTGCTCTGCCACTGTCAACAAGGCCCGCTGCTCTGCCTCTGTCAACAAGGCCCGCTGCTCTGCCACTGTCAACAAGGCCCGCTGCTCTGACACTGTCAAGGCCCTCTGCTCTGCCTGTCAAAGGCCCGCTGCTCTGCCACTGTCAACAAGGCCCGCTGTTCTGCCTCTGTCAACAAGGCCCGCTGTTCTGCCACTGTCAACAAGGCCCGCTGTTTGCCACTGTCAACGGCCCGCTGCTTTGCCTCTCTACAAGGCCTGCTGCTCTGACACTGTCAACAAGGCCTCTGCTCTGCCTGTCAACAAGGCCCGCTGCTCTGCCACTGTCAACAAGGCCCGCTGCTTTGCCTCTGTCTACAAGGCCTGCTGCTCTGACGTCAACAAGGCCTTCTGCTCTGCCTGTCAACAAGGCCCGCTGCTCTGCCACTGTCAACAGGGCCCGCTGTCTTCCTCTGTCAACGCGCTGCTGCTCTGCTGCGTCAACGAGGCCCGTTGCTCTGCCGCTGCTCTGCCTCTATCAACAAGGCCCTTTGCTCTGCCTCTGTCAACAAGGCCCGCTGCTTTGCCTCTGTCTACAAGGCTTGCTTCTAACACTGTCAACAAGGCCCGCTCTGCCTCTGTCAACAAGGCCTCTTGCTCTGCCTGTCAACAAGGCCCGCTGCTCTGCCACTGTCAACAAGGCCCGCTGCTTTGCCTCTGTCTACAAGGCTTGCTCTCAACACTGTCAACAAGGTCCGCTGCTCTGCCACTGTCAACAAGGCCCGCTGCTCTGCCCTGTCAACAAGGCCCGCTGCTCTGCCTCTGTCAACAAGGCCCGATGCTCTGCCTCTGTCAACAAGGCCTGCTCTGCCACTGTCAACAAGCCCCTCTGCTCGCCTCTGTCAACAAGGCCCGCTGCTCTGCCTCTGTCAACAAGGTCCGCTGCTCTGCCACTGTCAACAAGGCCCGCTGCTCGGCCTCTGTCAACAAGGCCCGCTGCTCTGCCTCTGTCAACAAGGCCCGCTGCTCTGCCTCTGTCAACAAGGCCCGCTGCTCTGACTCTGTCAAGGCCCGCTGCTCTGCCTCTGTCAACGGCCTGCTGCTCTGCCTCTGTCAACAAGGCCCGCTGCTCTGCCTCTGTCAACAAGGCCTGCTGTTCTGCCTCTGTCAACGAGGCCCGCTGTTCTGCCTCTGTCAACAAGGCCCGCTGTTCTGCCTCTGTCAAGCAGGCCCGCTGTTCTGCCTCTGTCAACAAGGCCCGCTGCTCTGCCTCTGTCAACAAGGCCCGCTGCTCTGCCTCTGTCAACAAGGCCCGCTGCTCTGCCTCTGTCAACAAGGCCCGCTGCTCTGCTCTGTCAACAAGGCCCGCTGCTCTGCCTCTGTCAACAAGGTCCGCTGCTCTGCCACTGTCAACAAGGCCCGCTGCTCTGCCTCTGTCAACAAGGCCCGCTGTTTGCCTCTGTCAACAAGGCCCGCTGCTGCTCTGCCTCTGTCAACAAGGCCCGCTGCTCTGCCTCTGTCAACAAGGCCCGCTGTTTGCCTCTGTCAACAAGGCCCGCTGTTTGCCTCTGTCAACAAGGCCCGCTGCTCTGCCTCTGTCAAGGCCTGCTGCTCTGCCTCTGTCAACAAGGCCCGCTGCTCTGCCTCTGTCAACAAGGCACGCTGCTCTGCCTCTGTCAACAAGGCCCGCTGCTCTGCCTCTGTCAACAAGGCCCGCTGCTCTGCCTTACACCGATTTATGCCACCAACTCCTACAGCTACATAATTACCCTGGTAAATAATGTGGAAGTCCCCGGCGAGAGTGGGTAGATGGTGTGGGTGTCCCTCCTCCTGCCAGGCCGCCCACCTCCCTCCTGCCAGACCGCCCATCTCCCTCCTGCCAGGCTGCCCACCTCCCTCCTGCTAGGCCACCCACCTCCCTCCTTCCAGTCCACCCACCTCCCTCCTGCCAGGCCACCCACCTCCCTCCTGCCAGGCTGCCCATCTCCTCCAGTAGGACCACCCACCATAAACTTGCCCATTTGTCGCAATATTTACATTGACTCACCTGTCAGATGTGGACACTACTACTGCCACACTCTGCTCACCTCCCCACACACCCCTCCGCCATCTCATCCTGACTTGCCCTCCCTCTCCTCCCCCTCCTTCTTCTCATACACTCTTCCTTTCCCTCCTTGCACATCCCTTCCGGCCCCTCTCCTCACACACACACACACACACACACACACACACACACACACACACACACACTTGTTTCTGAATCAGCTACAAAACCCACTAAGATAACTCCCCTTTAATTCCTCCCACACCCCTGTCACCGCCCACACCTGTCACTGCCCACACCCTCGTCACCGCCCACACCCCGTCACTGCCCCCGCCCTGAGAGTAACTACCCTTCACGCCCCGGTACAGTTGACTGTACCTTCACGCCCCGTACAGTTGACTGTACCCTTCAGCCCCTGCACAGTTGACTCTCCCACCTCACGCCCTGTACAGTTGACTCTACCCTTCACGCCCTGTATAGTTGACTCTACCCTTCACGCCCCATGGTTGACTCTACCCTTCACGCCCTGTACAGTTGACTCACCCACGCCCCTGTACAGTTGACTCTACCCTTCACGTCCCGTACAGTTGACTCTACCCTTCACGCCCTGTACAGTTGACTCTACCCTTCCTCTAGAGCCATGCTGTAGCTCCACCCCACCCCGTCTCCTGCTAGTAAGGGAGAGTACAGTTTCGTGTGTCAGGGAGAAGGAGGGGTAGGAGCATAAGGTAAGTGGGTGAGGATGGGAGTATCAGGGAGGCAGGGAGAGAAGTGAAGGTGGGGGTATGAGGAAGGGAGGAGAGGGTGGGAGCAGTAGGAAGAGAGAGAGGGAGGTGAGGGAGAGAGGGGTGGAGGTGAGGGAGAGAGGGTGGGAGTATCAGGGAGGGAGGGAGGTGAAGGGTGAGAGAGGGAGGTGGGTGAGGGTGAGAGGGAGGGAGCGAAAAAGGGAGGTGAGGGAGGTAAGGGAGGAGGGAGCATCAGGGAGGGTTCTCACGTGTGTCTCAGAGATACGCTAAAACTCGTGGTGGCAGCTGGCTAGCCTCACCCCAACACAGCTTCACCCCATGTTCCTCTCCTCCTCCCTCCCTCAACCACAGTCCCTCCCTCCATCCCTCCCTCCCTCCCATCTTCCCTCCTCTCTCCTCCCCTCCTACATACAGTTACAGAGCTCAACAACTCTATTGACAAGACTCTACAGTTTTGTTCCATCTTGAGGGCTGTCGTGTAGCTCAGTGTGACCAGGGCTCTATGCTGCCGTGTATAACCCCCAGCCTAGTGGCGGGCAGTGCCACCTGAGGAAGAGTGCCATCAACTAAGACAGTACCAGTAGTGGGCAGTACATATAACTGGCCAACTTCACTTATCATAGTGACACCATCGGAAAGTCATTAACATAATCGAGTGTAATGTATCAAACTTGGTGGTGGTGATGGTGGTGCTAGTGGTGGTGGTGGTAGTGGTAGTGGTGGTGGTGGTGGTGGTGGTGTTGGTGGTGGTAGTGGTAGTGTAGTGGTAGGTGGTGGTGGTGGTGGTGGTGGTGGTAGTGGTAGTGGTGGTGGTGGGTAGTGGTGGTAGGATGTGGTGATGGTGGTCGGTGGTGGTGGTGGTGGTGGTGGTGGTGGTGGTGGTAGTGTAGTGATGGTGGTGGTGGTGTGATGGTGGTGGTGGTAGTGGTAGTGGTAGTGGGTAGTGGTGGTAGTGGTGGTAGTGGTGGTGGTCGGTGGTGGTGGTGGTGGTGGTGGTGGTGGTAGTGGTAGTGTGGTGGTGGTGGTGGTGGTGGTGGTGGTGGTGGTGGTCGGTGGTAGTGGTGGTGTTGGTGGTGTGGTGGTGGTAGTGGTGGTGGTCGGTGGTGGTCGGTGGTGGTGGTGGTGGTAGTGGTAGTGGTGGTGGTAGTGGTGGTGGTAGTGGTGGTGGTAGGTGGTAGTAGTGATAGTGGTGGGGAGTGGTGGTAGTGATGTTGGATGGTGGTCGTGGTGGTGGTGGTAGTGGTAGTAGGGTGGTGGTGGTAGGGTGGTGGTGGTGGTGGTGGTAGTGGTGGTGGTAGGGGCGGCTGAGATAACAAAACACATTTATTTGTACAGTAATTATGTAATTGAGGAGATATTGTCAACGATAAGAATAGTGTGTAGAGGCTGCCCTGTGTGGGAGGCCAGTCATGTGTGGAGGTCAGTCAGGAGGCTGGTCATGTGGAGGCCAGTCATGTGTAGAGGTTAGTCATGTGTGGAGGCCAGTGCGTGTGAGGCCAGTCATGTGTGGAGGCCAGTCATGTGTAGAGGTCAGTTCTGTGGAGGCCAGTCATGTGGAGGTCAGTCATGTGTGGAGGTCAGTCATGTGTGGAGGCCATGTAGAGGTTAGTCATGTGTGGAGGCCAGTCATGTGGAGGCCAGTCATGTGTGAGGTTAGTGCGTGTGGAGGCCAGTCAGGTAGAGGTTAGTCATGTGTGGAGGCCAGTCATGTGTGGAGGTTAGTCAGGAGGCCAGTCATGTGTGGAGGTTAGTCATGTGTGAGGCCAGTCATGTGTAGAGGTAGTCATGTGTGAGGCCAGTCATGTGTAGAGGTTAGTCATGTGTGGAGGCCAGTCATGTGGAGGCCAGTCATGTGTGGAGGTGTCATGTGTGGAGGACGTCATGTGTGGAGGTCAGTCATGTGGAGGTCAGTCATGTGTGGAGGTCAGTCATGTCTGGAGGTTAGTCATGTGGAGGTCAGTCATGTGTGGAGGCCAGTCATGTGTGGAGGTCAGTCATGTGTGGAGGCCAGTCATGTGTGGAAGGTTAGTCATGTGTGGGAGGTTAGTCATGTGTGGAGGTCAGCTGCTGTGGAGGTCAGTCATGTGGAGGTTAGTCATGTGTGGAGGCCAGTCCATGTGTGGAGGTTAGTCATGTGGAGGCCAGGTGGAGGCCAGTCATGTGTGGAGGCTGGTCATGTGGGAGGTCAGTCATGTGTGGGAGGTCAGTCATGTGTGAGGTCAGTCATGTGTGGAGGCCGGTCATGTGTGGAGGCCAGTCATGTCTGGAGGTTAGTCATGGAGGTCAGTCATGTGTGGAGGTCGTCATGTGTGGAGGTCATGTGTGGAGCCAGTCATGTGTGGAGGTTAGTCATGTGTGGAGGCCGTCATGTGTGGAGGTCAGTCATGTGTGGAGGTCAGTCATGTGTGGAGGTCAGTCATGTGGAGGTCATGTGTGGAGTCAGTCATGTGGAGGCCATCGTGTGGAGGCCGTCATGTGTGGAGGTCAGCGTGTGAGGTCAGTCATGTGTGGAGGCTCGGTCATGTGTGGAGGTCAGTCATATGTGGAGGTCAGTCATGTGTGGAGGCCAGTCATTTGGGGAGGCCAGTCAGTGGGAGGTCAGTCATGTGGGAGGTCAGTCATGTGTGGAGGTCAGTCATGTGTGGGAGGTCGTCAGTGTGGAGATCAGTCATGTGTGGAGGTCAGTCATGTGTGGAGGTCATGTGGAGGCCAGTCGTGGGGAGGCCAGTCATGTGGGAGGTCAGTCATGTGTGGAGGCCAGTCATTTGGGGAGGTCAGTCATGTGGAGGCTCAGGTGGAGGTCAGTCATGTGTGGAGGTCAGTCAGTCTGTGGAGGCCAGTCATGTGTAGAGGTTAGTCATGTGTGAGGCCAGTCATGTGTAGAGGTCAGTCATGTGGAGGTGAGTCATGTGGAGGTCAGTCATGTGGAGGTGCAGTCATGTGTGGAGGCCAGTCTGGGGAGGCCAGTCATGTGGGAGGTCAGTCATGTGGGGAGGTCAGTCATGTGTGGAGGTCGGTCATGTGGAGGTCAGTCATGTGTGGAGATCAGTCATGTGTGGAGGCCGGTCATGTGTGGAGGTCAGTCATGTGGGAAGCCAGTCATGTGGGGAGGCCAGTCATGGGAGGTCAGTCATGTGGGAGGTCAGTCATGTGTGAGGCCAGTCATGTGGGGAGGTCAGTCATGTGTGGAGGTCAGTCATGTGGGGAGGTCAGTCATGTGGGGAGGCCAGTCATTTGGGGAGGCCAGCATGTGGGGAGGTCAGTCATGGGGAGGTCACTGCTTCACTGTTATGGCAGCTTGAGCGCCACTCACTACACGTCCTCTCTCTAGTAAGACTCACACTACACGTCCTCTCTCTAGTAAGACTCACACTACACGTCCTCTCTAGTAAGACTCACTACACGTCTCTCTAGTAAGACTCACACTACACGTCCTCTCTCTAGTAAGACTCACTACACGTCCTCACTCTAGTAAGACTCACACTACACGTCCTCACACTAGTAAGACCACTACACGTCCTCTCTCTAGTAAGACTCACACTACACGTCCTCTCTCTAGTAAGACTCACACTACACGTTCTCACACTAGTAAGACTCACACTACACGTCCTCTCTCAATAAGACTCACTACATCCGTCCTCTCTAGTAAGACTCACACTACACGTCCTCTCTCTAGTAAGACTACACCACACGTCCTCACACTAGTAAGACTCACACTACACGTCCTCTCCAATAAGACTCACACTACACGTCCTCTCTCTAGTAAGACTCACACTACACGTCCTCACACTAGTAAGACCACACCACACGTCCTCTCTCTAGTAAGACTCACACTACACGTCCTCTCACTAGTAAGACTCACACTACACGTCTCTCACTAGTAAGACTCCACACTACACGTCCTCTCTAGTAAGACTCACACTACACGTCCTCTCACTAGTAAGACTCACACTACACGTCCTCTCACTAGTAAGA